AAACTCTTAGAACATCATCTATTTAATCCAATCCTTTAATTTTACAAATGAATAAACTGAGGTCCAGAGAGTGATGCCCAAGGTCATAAAGCAAGTTATGGTACTGTTGGACTAGCATCCAAGTCTTCTGACTTCTAGTCCTGAGATTTAATTTTTTTTTTTTTTTGCTTTTTGGTGAGGCAATCAGGGGTAAGTGACTTGCCCAGGGTCAGACAGCTAGTAAATGTCAAGTATCTAAGGCCAGATTTGAACTGAGGTCCTCCTGACTCCAAGGTTGGAATGCTACTCATTGTGCCACCTAGCTGCCCCTAGTCCTGAGATTTAAATAATGAAAAACCTAGATCCAGTGACAAGGTCTTTCAGAGACATCTAAGGGGCAGGAAAAACAGGAAAGCTGAAAATACTTCTATCTCCTAAAAAAATGAATAGAGGAAAAGGCAATGGGTGAATTAATTTTGACTTAAGGAACATGATTTTTACTTTAAGTATTATTCTTAAAAGAAATAAAAATATTACACCAAAAGAATGGAAGTCAGCATTTCTTTACTAATAGCTTAACTGAAAGCCTGTTAAGTTTTTACTATGACAGTTTGAAAAAAATGTAGTGATAAGAAAAAGAGTTTAATTTGAGAGGACTTGTTGATTATGAGCAGAAGGAAAAGAGAATTATTTCTCACTTTAATTTGTTAAATGTAAAAATGAGTAAGTAGAAAGTATGAGAAGCAAGAGGGAAAGAAAATAAGCAAGACTAGGAAACATGCTATAACCACATAAGCTACACCAAAACATACAAAAGAAACTGTGAACCACTAATTCCAAGCATTTTTTTCCAAGTGAAATGGCATTTGGATTATTCAATGAGACAAACTAAAAGAAATAAAGGTCATATTTAGTAGTGATCCCATTTATTATATGTCCTTACTACCAGAAGACAGAAAACTACTTCCCTACTTCTGAACTTTCACCAACAACCCCCTCCCCACCAAAAAAACCTCCTAGTTTCTTTCTATTCAAGAGGAATAGACACCTAAGCCTAAATTTAGAAAATCTGTTTTCTGATTAAATGAGTATAAGCCCATTAGCAAATCATTTTGGATACTAAGAACACACCGGCAAGAGGGGATTCATTTTCATCTATGAGGTTTTTATGCCACTAAAAACAGAAGCTAGACATTTGCTGCTACGATTAGGAGATAGAGCTAACAGGCTACTTATATTCTATACCTATGAAGGATAATATTAGAACATGCTTGAAATCTTTTGGGTTGGTTTCTAACTCTTTCATGTCTCTTTGCATTGTCACCACAGTGTAGTATAAAAAAGCCGGACATAAGAGGTGCGTTCTGATCCTCTCTAGCATCTGCAGTCCTGGAAATGTCGCTTCCCCTCTATGGGACTCAGTCTCCTTACCCGTAAAACATGAATAAGGATCTTTGAAATACCTTCCTCACACAATCATTGCGAGAACAGCACTCTATAAACCTCAAACACAATATGATCGATCCTACGTGGATTCTATGCCTGCCACTTGTTACAGAGTGTACTTTCCAATTCTAAAGGGTTCACACTGCAGTTGTTTAATTTACTTTGCATATTATCTGTGGCAGGGGGACATTTGATAAAAGTATTATAATCACAAGAATGAAAGTAATCCATTGCATCCATTATTTTTAAAACTACATTACAACACAACTACAATGGAAAGAATTAGTACCCCCGGGGGCATATATGAAATTAAGATTATAAAGTAACATTATTATTTGGAAACAGAGTCTTTCCCCCAAATTAAAACAAAATATCTCAAATCTGATTTTACTAAAATTTAATGAGAGGAGGGATATTTGCTTCCTCCTTCAAGAGGGCTTTTTGCTTAAAGACATTATATAGGAGAGAGAGCTCAGGTGACCACATGAAGGGAAGTCCCCCCCTTTCCCCACCTGAAATATCTATAGAGTTTTATGGGACTGAAGTACAAATGAACAATACCCCAGATCATAGATAACCCCTTCCCAAACCCATTTTGATGATTTTAACAACAAAAGTGCCAAATAGCAATCCTATAGCCATAAGCTAATCTTTTTCAAGGTATTATTATTATTTAAATGAGCTTATTAAATAGTGTGGGCCACAAGCTTGATGGAAGTTGAAGGAAGAAGCACATTTAGGCAGCTGCAAATTAATTTAAGCTTACCAAATGAAAAGAGAAAAAAGACAAAAGTTCAAAGAAAAATCAAGATAATTTTAAAGTAGACTCCCCTTATGATGTTAATTTTCAACTTAAATCTTTGGTCAAACTGCACAACGGCAACAACTGATGAAGTATTACAGAAAGTGATAATAGTAAAAAAGATAGTCAAAAAAGTTACAATCATGCTAGGTAAATGGTTGAACAAAGACAAGTTTTTCTTCTTTAGTTTGTGCTCTGTTTATAGCCACACAAATTTGATACCTGTCATAATGATGTGGGGACAAAGAGTGCCCTAGGATTAAAAATAATAATAAGGGTTACTTTCCCAGGTCCCCTGAGGGGATTTGAGGCTCATTCTGTAGCCCATCCTGTTCCTTGAGATCCTGGAACTTGAGAACTTCTCAAGTCCTTTTTGCCCTTATCTTGAAATGCCATACATCTTGTACCGAAAGAATTGCCTTTGTCTCCCTTACCTTGTGTTCCCTATCCTGTCATTCACCTACCTTATCCTGCCCCTAATCTCCAACCCCCATAAGAAATCCTAAAAATATATCATCGTCCTACAGCTGTATAGCTTTCTGTCTATATAAGCCTGGGTCTTTTCCTATATTGGCACCCTTTGTTTAGCTCCCTGCTAACCTCAGGACCATGAAGCTTTCATGAAATAAAGCTCCCAATGGTTATAGAGAAAGTCTAAGTGAATTCTTTCACACCTGAACCAGCTCTCCCAACTCTAAACCTCAACAATAACAATGATCAGATAAAGGCTATCTTGCATGGCAAAAATCTAAGACTCTTATGTTAATGAAATATTTTATGAATTTTCCATTCTTTATGACATAAAGTTTTAAGATAATAGGCTGAAAGGACGGTATTTACTATCTTGATTTTGTTATGCAACATCACTTTTCATAAAGACACAGAAAAGGAGAGAACTGTTAAAAAACTCCCCAACAAAACCCTCTTATAGATGTTTGTCCTAAATTAGTTAAGCAAACACTAATATGAGATATATTCAACAAGATCTCTTTTCTAATCAGAAATTCATGAAGAATCTTTGGATGCAAAAATTCTCCAGGCAGAGAGATAAATAGATTCAATAACTCCATCCAGACAAAACAGAAGTAGAAGTATATAAGAAAAGATGCCAGTTCCCTGTCAAGGTGCTACCTGGCCCAGGCTTATTTTTTATAGCTCCATGGCTCTCATCTCACTACTTTCAGCCAGCCCTAGCCTGGGAGTCTTTGGTACTATCTGCTCGCACTTTGTACATACGCTTTTCCCCATTTCAGAATTTCCTTCTCTGAGTGCCCAGAACTCTCATGCTATCCCTGGGAAGTGATCTGTTACGTAGTACTTTGAGAGTCAGGATCATATCATGGCTGGCACATAGTAGGTTCTTAATAAATATTGATTGGCTGATAAATATACTTAAGTATATCATAAATTATACTAAATAAATATAAAATATATTAAAAAAGAATATACTGGTTAATATACTAAAATATCCTAGTATACCTTAGATTCCTTAACATTATACTCTTTTCAAACATATCTGAATTTTAAAACAGGAAGCCTAATCCTAAGCCTAATGTTTGATCCAAAGGAATGAACCCCTAAAGGTGGATTTTGGGGTGCCAGGGCAAGACATTCCGGATTGCATATATTCTCTCATTTTGCCCCTCAAAATAATGAACAACCCACTAAAAATACTAGTCCTGTCCCTAGCTTGACATCTTTCCTGTGTGAGTAAACATATTATTTCATTACTAACCCTATTAAGTGCTAGTGCATTCTAGTTGAACTCCCCTGCCCCTTGAGGTACCCCCTTTTGTTCCTACCTTGTTCAGCCAACCTGCAACTTTTATTCTTCATGGATTTCGTACTTTCTGCTCTGTAGGATAATAAATGACTTGTTCTTTCTGATGTTTTTTTTTTTGCCTTCCTCCAAAACTATCTTCTCCTTTATTTTTTTTTGAGGCTTTTCTTGTTTTGGCTTGTAAAAGGAACCAGGAGAAGGGGAACATTTCACTGACTAGGAGGCAGTAAGGAATGAAGTTTCACCATTCAATGTGTAAGAATGGATTAATGCATGTTTCATTCAAATATCTAAAGGCATATATGCAAACAATGTACAGTCATATGCAAATAAATGCAGTTCGGTCCTCATAATTATTTCACAAGTTTAGTTAAGTACTTAAAAAAATTGTTAAAATTCTAAAGTTAGTAACCATTAACAACAAACATTCAAATAAACAAACAATAAAATTGATCATTCCTACAACCACAAACTACAAATTATTTACAACTTGTTATCTCTAGAATTTTCAAGACTGCTTTATATTATCAAAAAGGTAAAATAATATCAGAAAAAAATCATCAAGGAGAGGTGTTTTCCGGATAGAAACTGTCATTATACTGGGCTTGGTGTCTGTATTGGTATCTTTGTACTCATACACAGATGCAAATAAATACTAGACCAATCATTAATAAACACAGCAGTTGACACAAGATGTTTATATAAGTGTGTATGTGTGTATAGAAAGAGTTATATTCATATAGAAACAATGAGTTTTTTATCATATTATGAAAGGGCTAATATGCAATTATCATAATTTCTTTTCTCTGTAAGAAAAGCATATAAAAGAACACTTTACATGGTTTTTCTAATGTGATTTACATTTATTTGGCGAGATGCATTAAAGAACTTAAGTACAGTTTCCCCAAATAGTTATAATGGAAACTCAACCAGGAAACTTTTCAAATATATTTAGTAACAAGAACATGTATACCTGCATCACAATTCTCTCACCTTTCCATCAATGCGTTTCACTATGTACTGATCCAGGCCCAAATCTGAGGAAGAGAAGTAACAAAATTAATTCACACAATTTATACCTCCTTTGAAACATGTAAGCTTGCATAGTTCTCATCTCTGTTTTTAGTGATTTGGGGACTACTACCCCAATGGAATAGAACTTTCTCCTGAATTTATCTAAAGGAATGAAAAACTTTCTACTTTTCTCTTCCTAATTAAGACAAGGAAAGATTACTCTAATATTCCTGCAGGGTCACAGGATCTTGGAGATCTGAAGCTGGAGGGAACTTCTGAGGTCATCTAGTCCAATTCCCTCACGCTACTGACAACAAAAGCGAGGTCCACGGCAGTGAAGGGATTTGCCCAACTTCACCCAGGTGCTGTCAGAAGTAGCATATAACCCAGGCCGTTTGACCACAGAGTAGTATTAGTTCTACTGTACTACACTGTATCATTTTATCAATCAATCAACCAACAAGCGCTTATTATATGCCTGACACTACACTAGGTGCTAGAGATTTAAGTACAAAAGTCCGATTATCCCGTCCTAAAGGAACTTATATTCCACTATGCATGGACAGCATGTATATACAGATAATTATGCAGATATATATGTAGATATATACAGATATATATATACACACATAAATTCATTTAGGCAATACAAAAAAAATACACAGTGATGGGGAAAATAACAACTGAGAGAATTAGGAAAGTCAAATATAAAATATGGTTTTTTCTTGAGAAGGTTGAAGAAGGGGATGGTGAGAAAATAAAAGATCTTGAACATGGAAGTGGAACACCTGTGGATGATAGCAAGATTGAAGGTGGGACCATCTATGTATAGCTGAGGTAGGAGAGGAGGTAGAAAGAAGGGAAAGATTGTAAGCCAGACATGGAATTCATTTAGGAAAGAAGTGGACAGTGCTAGAGGTCTTGATTAGATGATAAATATGGATTGAATGAACATCAAAGAATAAGAGGTTACTGAGTGATGGTGGTAGAAGGAGAGCCTGGAGTGGCAATGGGGAACAAGGAGTTTTCCATCTCTTCTGCTGTGACCAGTGAATCATGGAGTCTGAGTGAAAATGCAATCAGCTTGGAAAGGCAACTGTGGCAGCAGGAGGGAACCAGGTTTCAGTGAGTGCATGCAGATGGAGGAAGCAAGAAAGGAAATGAGGAAGAAGAGGAAAAAAAAATCAGAAAACCTAGCAATTCATCAATAAAATCTGAAAAATATGTACAATGTTCCAAACCTGTAGACCCCAAACCCCGCCCCCCCTCCCCCAACAAAGGAGTTAGGAACATAACTCTTCCTTGGGGCCAAGCCTGGTCTCTGCAATTTTTAAAGATTTATTTCTGATTGTTTTGTGGTTGCTGGTTTTTTTCCAATTTATATTGTTGTAGTCATTTTGTTGATAGTTCTCCTGCCTTAGCTTACTTCACTTTGAATCAGTTCATTTTAGTCTTTTTATACTTTTGCATATTCATCATATTTGTTGTTTGTTACACAACAGTCATATTCTGTTACATTCATGTATCACAATTTGTTCAGTCACTCCCTAACTGATGGGCATCTATTTATGTTAGGGTTTTGTTTAGATTTTTTTAATTACCAAAAAAACTGTTGCTATCAATATTTTGGTGTATACAGAACCTTTCCTTTTGCCAAGGACATCCTTGGGGAATATGCCTAGAAGCCAATCAAATCTTGGGGCCAAGAAGTATTAACGTTTTAGCCACTTTAGTTGTAGAATTCCAACTGCTTTCCAAAAGTTGTACTAATTTCCATTTCTATCAACAATACATGCTCTCAGTCGCCCAGGCTCACAACCTAGGTGTGTTCTTCAACTCCTCATCCTTTCACTGCCCTGCCCCCCTGTCCTGGTTCCCATCTAATCTGCTGCCAAGTCCTGCAGATTCTACTTTTGTCATCCTTTGTATAGGTTTCCTTCTCCTCTGACACTACCTTTAACCAACGTTCCTTTAACCAGTCTTCACGTATCACAGACACAAGGTCCTTCACCTAGTTACCCTTCTCTGGATTTTTTCCAACTTGGAAATGTTCTTCATAAACTGGAGCATCTCAAAACAAACACAACAATATAGATATGGTCTGATCAGGGCAGAGTACAGAAAGCTTATCATATCTCCCTAGAAATGATTTCTGGACACTCTCTTAATGCAGCCCAAGATGAGACAGCCAAGTCCTCATTAGGTGTATCTTCAGTAGTTCTCTAGTCACTGGCTCTAATCCTAAAAGTATTCTCTGAACCCTCTGCCCAACCTTGCTCATCCCTTTCAATGCTAAACTTCTCTACTTGTTAGATAGACAGATCTAGTTTCTCCAACAATCTACTGTAATCAAACTTCTGCTCCTCACCATTCAATTGAAGCTGCTGTTTCCAAGGTCACCGATCACCAAATCCTGTGTCTTTTTTTCAGTCCTCTGCCTTCTTGAAACCTGAAGTTTTTGATGCTATTGATCATCTCTCCTATTGGATACTCTTTCATCTCTTGACTTCTGAGTCAGCTAATCAAGAAGAGTTTATTAAGTGTCTGCTGTGTGCCAAGCTCTCTGCTAAGTGCAGGTGTGGGGGGAGGATAAAAAAAAAAGGCCAAACAAGTCACCATCCTCAAGGAGCTCACAGACTAATGGATGAGACAACACACAAGTAACTATGTACAAAAAAGATATAGACAGAATGATGTGGAACCCATCCATAGAGGGAAAGCACTAACATTATGGGAGACTGGGAAAGACTTCTTGCAGAAGGTGGGATTTTCACTGGGACCTGAAGGAAGTCAAGGAAGTCAAAAGACAGAGATGAGAAGGGAGAAAATTCTAGGAATGTGGGACGGCCAATAAAAATGCATGGAGTGCAAAGATGCAATACTGTGTGCAAGGAACAGAAAGGAGGCCTAAGTCTCTGCATCACAGAGTTCATGGAGGCAATAAGGTGTAAGGGGCTATGTAATTAGGTACATACAAGATATATAAAGATTATATGGAAGGTAGTCTCAGGATCAAAGAGACTAAGCAGCTGGGGAACCAGGAAAGGCTTTTGCAGAAGGTAAGATTTGAGAGAAGCCAGAGGAAGATCATCAACTTAATAAAAATCTCTCAAATGACTCCCTGTTGACTACCAAGGAGAATGCGAAATTTTAGCTTGGCATTCAAGATCCTGCGCAATGACAACACCCTACTTTTCTAGTCTTACTCCACATTATGCTGCCTCTAAGTCACATAAGTTTCCTCTTTATCTGAACTACTCACTGTCTCCTATACGAGCTCTGTGCTTTTCCACATCTATACCGTGGCTAATACTCTCTCTATACTATGAATGCCTCGGCTGAATTGCTACATGGCCTTTAAAATCCAATTCAAATGCTTCTGATGGGGTGCTTGGGTGCTATACTAGGACCCCAATTCCAAGATCATATTTCTCCCTAGCCTCAGAAACACTATCCCTGGCAGTTTCCCCCCAGCCCAAGGGCACTATGCCTAGCAATTACTCATGAGTGGGCCTCAGCAACACACTCATCTCTCTCTCTGGTGTAGTTACAAATTGCACCTGAAGGAATTATTAGTTTGAACTGGCTTTGCACTGGGTCATAAAGATATTCAGACCCACTGGACCATCTATACTACCTCCCTACCTCATTATCTATATGTATTCTAGACTTAAGACATATGTATACTCCCCACATCTCTTGTCAAACAAGACACTGATTGGAGGCAGTCTGGGCAACCTTCAGTTGGTCCTGACTGCTAGTTAACTTAGTGATATAGCAGACCTAAAAACCACATCTCTATTTAGTTTCCCTTGGACTTTTCCTGGTGAATTCTGGGTAAAATGCCTGCGCAGTAGATACAAAAAGTGCATATTCCTTTAAGAACTGACCACTCCTTAACCACTCCCTAATCCTACCCTCAATCACATAGTTAGCATATTTGGCACATATTTTACCATGGTTTATCCTATATAAACTTTAACTGAACCCCTCTAAGGTTGCAGGTTCCTTAAGAATCTTTGCCGCTGAAAAGCCTAACAATAAATCTTTGCCAACTTGACTTTATGTTTGAGTCTGTGGATTCCAGACACCTCCCTCCTGTACTCTGGTCTTTGAGGGGTCTCAGTCTCTCAGACTGCAAGAATTTCTTTTCCTAGGTAAGTATTCCCCTCACTCCTCAAGGCAGTAATGACTAGTCTTTCTCAAACTTCACTTAGAATTTTATTGCTAATCCCTTCTGTACTCCTCTGGTATCGTCTTAGTATCACAGTAGTTAGAGCTTGAAAGTACTTCCGAGATCATCTATTTTGACAGCCTCATTCCACATTTCACAAAGTGCTGCAGTTAATGATCAGAGCCACTAGGAGCAGAAGACTCAAGTCCTCTCACTGAGTCCATGCTCCCTCCACTGCATCATACTGTTCACAGCAAAGATAATGAAAATCGACACATACAAACAAGTGTGCACATAAATATATTTAACCACATATATTATACGCATATATGCACACAAAGCACTTTATAACTATAAAACACCATGTAAATATAGGTTCTTTTCCTTATTACCAGTGCCATCTCGCTCTTACAGTAAGTAGCAGATACTATTAGATGATTACTGGGAAAATGTCACTATTTATGGAACTAAGCTTATTGTGTGGAAAGTGCCAATTTAGTCTATAAGTTCATCATCTTGGCTCCTTCGCCTCACTCAGTCTAATTACAAGGGGGCTGCAGGATACTGGAGGATTTTCTACTCTAAATTTTAAACTCTAAAAATCATGCTCTTTAATTTCACAATATAGTGAAAAATAGTTATTTATACAATTCCTCACATTTATACACTGCTACATAACAATACGACTATGATGTAGATAGGTCAAGTAACATTATCCCTATTTTACTGGTGGGAAAACTAAGGCTTTAAGACACTATACTGCTAGCTACTTCCTGTTAACAAGTTAGCATAAATATAATAAAGAAAATCTTTCCTACAAGATTTTAAACTCAGTAAATAAATATCTCC